ATTCTGCAGAATCTCATCTCATTTTTGAAAAGTCTTAGAATTGCAAATCAGCTGAAGATTTTTAGGGTCAACATTTTTTCTGACTGCCTCCACCTGAAACTAGGAATTAGAAGAGTTGAGATATCCTGTTATCTGAGAAAGAAAATCCTGCTGCAGTTGAAAATCGATTGAGTCAATATAGCACCACTTCTCCATTAGAGTGAGAGTCATTCAATAATTCAGTCATGACTGACTACTTGAAGGTAGTTACTACTATTAGCCCCTCATATCTATCAAACTACACTACCCTCCTCCTCCTCCCACATATTCTAACATCTTGCTGGTTCAATTCACTCTTGGGATCAGTCCACCGACTACCTCACGGTAAAAAATGTCACCAGATAGAGTTTTCTATCAGGTTCGATTGTGACAGTGTAAGTAAGTCTCAGGGAAACGGGGTTACACACAATTCCACAGAGCTCTCTTCGTTTCCATGACCGACCACCCCGCCACCCACTGTACTGAATAAAAGTTGATCAATTGATGGAATAATACTTAGATTTATGACATTGCTTGATGATCTATCTACAAATGGACGATGATTTCAAGTGCTGGCGATATCTACAATCATATTTTCTGTCAACATTTCGTTACCGACGAGTTTTTTCTGCTTTAGGAAAACTTTCGAATGGGTAAAACAGTCAATTCATTGAAACGAATTCGGCAGCTTAAACTATATCAGTTTTTTCTGCAGACTTATACCCTTCTACACTATTCAGTTCAGTCCAGTTTCTTTGTATAGCTCTCTTTTGTCTACGGACACGTATGTTACTTTTTGATATGTGAAGATGAGTGCTAACGGCTATTGGTGGGACAAGGTAAAAGAGGAAATATTTGTCATTTTATTCGAGTACTAAATATATAATGAAGAAATGTACTCAGCAATTAATTTTTATACACACACAAAAAGATAAAATAGTAGAAAGCAGTTTGTATCTCACTGATTTATGCCATGAGTGTGTAGAAGACGGATGATGAAGGTCGCGAGCGTCTGGGAGAGGGAATTGTTCATTTTGACTCAGAGTGGGCTGACATGTCTTGTCTGATACACTTTCTCCACAGACACATCCACAAGTATGGTTACTGATGGAAGAATATTCACATTTGCGATAACTTCATCATCAGGTTCTACAGTTTCATGCATCCATGCTAAATAGTGATTTAACGAATTAGTGTTATTAACAACAACATTAATGTTGTTGTTTAAATAACATCGAATCAATGAGAATTATAATAACATCAATGGATTACATTTCAATAGCATCAGTATAACCATACACTGAATGGATATCAGAAGAATTAGGAAAATATATAATAATTCATGAATTTATAGTCTCTACTGATTGCTATCCAGACCAGTAGTAGTAGTAGTGGTGGCTAGTTGGACTTGCTTCTGTCGCACACACACAGAGCACTGGTTGGTTCACGTGAATCGCGATAGCCTCTACTGTTTGGAGTATGCGGTACCGGGATGATTTTGGCAATTTATTTGGTACCATGTGGATGATAGGGAAGGATTCTTTATTTCCAGCCCGCTTTGTGACTGGTTTAGACCAATTAGTCTAATATCGAACTGTTGATGGCTTTTACTACACCTTTGCTTAGCCATACTGGGAGATGTTCCCAGGGAGGCCCCAAAGGTCAAGTTCCTAGAGCAACGGCCAATATAACTCGCTCCACCACAAGCACAGTCGCAGTTAAATTGGTAGACGCAATTAGAGAAGTGGTTAGTCTAGTCTAGCTACTTTATCTTTCAATCGAGGAATCATCATCCTTCGTGTAGAAAACATGACTTGAAGTTTGCAAGCAATAAAAGTTTTTTGAACAGATTTTCTTAACTTCAGTAGGATTCCTTGTGGGAAGGTATTTGAAAGTGATTAGAGATAAGGAAAAAGACACACAGGGAGAGAGAGATAGAGGGACAGGTGTAAAATCGAACCCTTGAGCGCGCTTTTGTTTGATAGTGTTATCAAATGGAGTGAATATGGCATGTATTATCGTGTTAAATGTCATTAACACATTAAGGTCTTAACTGTTAGTGTGAGTAATGTAGTAGTATGTGTCGTAGACTACCTGGTTACCGTCCTCGAGACACTAAGAATGAGTAAGAGCTGGATACAGCTACCTTCTCTCTATACTGAAGATGAAATGGCCAGCCGGCCAGGGAGAATTGGCAAGAAGAAACTCTTCAGTGAAACAAACCAATCAACCAAGATCCGATTGCTCAACAAATATGTAGGAGAAATGGATTAATCGAGCATACATTGAGGAGGAATGACATCGCTCACGATGCATGAATGTACGAACAATAAACAATGAAACTAGGATTTCATCATGAGCACTGACATTGGTTGGTGAGAGAACCATTAGAAAACCAGCCACAGGGAGTACTGTCAACAGCTGTTTCCTCCGTTATAGTCTGCGACTCTTCATCAGTACTCACCCACAAGATGTCAGTGCTCATGATGAAATCCTGTGACCAATCTATCAATCAAATCCCTACAAATCAATACTTGAAAATTAAGTCAGGATTTATGTGTTATATTAGAAAAACTTTGATAACATTTCTGAGTATCTAAGATAATGGTTATTCTAAACATTTTACACCTTGAAGAATCCATTCTGATGATGAGTTTCTGTATAAAATTTTCGCACATTTTAGAAAAAATTGAACAAAAGTCATGTTAACTATAGTGATAATAAACCGTAGAGATTTAATAAGGGAAGGAAGAAGAAAATATTGTACAATTAAGAAACAAACAAGCAAGAAAAAGACGAAACAAAATTACTTATTTGGTGTTAAGATAAATAAATCAGGTCCACTTTATGCAGAGTTCAGGCGGACTTTGAAGAAGTTTGATTCGTATTTCCATTGTGGGTAAAATGTATTTTGATAAGGTCTCACAGTGTTATACAGTTTTATTTACTGATGACCACGTTTCCAGCACAATTTATCGCTGCTTATCGTCATCATATCAAGGCACTACTCAACTACACAACTTTCTAACTTCGTTTATAAAATTCCATTATTTTTCATCTCTTGACTTGATTGGTAGTCGTAGCAGTATTTTCCATATTTCCAGTATGAGTGATGAGTCATTCCTAATGCACGTGTTGGGTGTAGATTATTCGATGAACCACGATTCAGTAAGTAATCAGCCTCTCTCTACCTCTACCTACCTATATTACTTCTTAGAATTTTAACCCTCTCTGTCCCTTCCACCCTATTGTGTGTTAATGCATGTAGTGCTGAGCTGTCTTCTAAATAACTTATCTTCGTCTTTGGAATCAATCATTCTCACCTTAATTAAATTCTTATGTTGTGACAGGCAATCTGACTACTCCTGCCTGATCTACTAGTCTGATTCACCTATATAGGTAGTTGACCAAACTCACAGTCATTGCAAAGTATTTTGTAAATGATAAAATTTTCTCTAATGGGGTCAACCTACAGGGTAGTTTACTCAAACAGACCTCCTATCTGAATGAGTTTGAATGTCGCCACCCTAATTCCTGCTTTATTGAGAATCCCACGTAGGAAGGGATATATATGGTAAAACTACTGTAGATGCCTTATATTCCTTCTCAGTTATGTTATCATTATTAGTTTCACTACTATTTTTATTTTGCTTTTGATCTTTTTTGATTATTATTATTTCCTTTAATTCCTAGAGGAACATAGGGTTTTAGCTGCACGTCTCCATTGCGTTCGGTTCTCTGCTAGAGTTTTCACCTGTCTCCAGGTCTGCCCACATGCTTTCATCTCCTTTTTAGAGTTTGAACAATTACTAGTGGGACATAATGTTATTCGAGCTAAGTGTTTTGATAATTCCTAAGTAGGAGTATTCCTGAAATCTACTATTGGTCGTATGGGGTAACCTAGCTTATGTATTTCTATAGTACAGTTTATTCTACTAGCATTATTAGTTCTCACCCAGTGACGGCTTCATTCGGCGTATTAAATCCGCTGTAGATTTCTTTATCTTATTCACTATTGTGTCTACAGGCCTCTTAATTTCCTCATATGGACGGACCCGTTTCAATGTTTCTTGATATATTCAGATTTATCCGAAACTAATGTACTTCCACGTATACTGCATATGACTTTGAAGTTACTTTGTGTGGGTTTGTTTGGTGCTCCAATTCAATCAAGTGTTCCAGAATAGAGCTTCGGGGGGGGGGACCTTTTTTTCCCCTTTTTGAAAGCACGACTGTGGGTAAGTGTTCGATGATACATTTTGAAAGCAGACGCTGTTTGTTTCTGAATTGTATAATATTCCCCCACCCCACGCACCCCTTATTAAATCTCTACCCCTTATTTACCACAGTTGTTATAACTTGATTTTTGTTCAATTTTAATTTTAGCTGAGCTCTACTCAACCCCGTCGTCATTTTTTTAAAAATCTTATTTTATTATAGCTCGACTGCACACACTATTTTTGATACAAGTGTGGAATTTTCAGCATGTGAGATATGATTTGGCCAAATTTAGCAGGCGGTCCATTGAAAGCAGATGTGCGTCGACCAGGGATCGAACCCCATACCATGTACATGGTCGGCGAGCGTCCAAACCGCTGTGCCACCGACGCACGTCGTTCAACTTGCTTATTTAAAATCTTACTTTAGTTTCTAATCAGTTAACCAAATTTATTATCTAAAGCTTACAGTTCTAATAATTTTATTTTTAGTTTGTACCCGATTAACGCTTTCTCTGTATTACGTAATGTGTTAACTAAAACAATTTACAATTCTAATGGCAAATCCTTGAAATATTCATTTTGCTGCTAACTATGTGTGATTGGTCACAGCTTGAGAATTATATTGCCGAAAAGAGGACTAGCTCTTCGCTGAACGTCGTCAATTACATTACGTCACTCAACTTGCTTACTATTTAAAATCTTATTTTAGTTTCAATCCAATTAACAAAATTTCTTATCTTAACCCTTTTTTTAAAAAAATTTTTGCAGCTCCTCTACTCAGTGTTGCAATAGCCGTTGTATTCTTTCCACAAAATGCATTTGAGGAGTATAAATGCACTTCGAAAAGTTAATATCCTCACCCGATTTATTCAACGTTCACCTTCGCCGATTTTTCCTATTAGAACATCATTATTATACTCAACTACGTCTTCTTCTTCTTCTTTATCGGATTCAAAACACCAAATTGAACAAACCGTCATCGATTCAAAGGATATTTGGCAACCTGTATATCGTCTACATCCGATTGTCTTCATACAGGTATTTTTATAAATTCTTATATGGATGATTTTCCGTAAGGCCAAATACTATTTCACATTTTCAAGTAATCGGTTTTGTAGGGATTTTGTTTGATTGGTTGGTTGAAGGATTTCATCATGAGCTGACATTGGTTAGTTAGAGGACCATTGGAAAGCCTGCAGGGAGTACTGCCAGACAGTTGTCTCTGTTGTCCTAGTTTCGGCCTCTTCAGCAGCACGTACCCACTTCACTGTGTCGAGGGCTAGTTAAGGAGGAGGGGAAATTAATAGACGAGTCTGTGAAGTTACATCGATTCAGAGAGATGGTTAGGACATGTTTTACGTATGCCTAGCCATTTCATTCCTTGGTGCAAAGTTCTACGCTGAAACCAATCAGTCAGCAGTTGTGGAAGATTTCTTAGACTGGTTTTATGTTCCCATCTGACCACTGGTAAATTTCCTCACACAGTTCTATGTTAGCGAAAATCGGTCTTTCAAGAATGTAGTTGATGTGAATGTGTGAAATATGTCTCGGTGAAGGTGGAACGATCTTATTGACCAACTTAACACTAACATATGACATGAAGAAGACTCTAGAAGATCTGGATTTGGCGCCTGGATGATTTATGTCTAATATCATGCAAACTCGAGGTTTTACAGGTGAAAACCAACAAACTGGCTGAAGAGGCTGATAGCGAAAACAGGACTCCATTCAAGTGAACATAGAGAAGGTGGAAACAGAGGTGATGAAGATAGCCAACCAACCAACAACAGCAACAATGACCAGCACCAATCAACATCAATGGGAGAGTTTTAACTGAGATTATTTCCTGGACTAATCTGGCTAAGAAGCATCGTTTCAACTACAGGCAGAATGGATGAAGATGTAAAACTCAGTCACAATCGGAAAGGCAAAATAGGCACGCCTTCATCAACCTAAAACCTATTTGGAAATCTACACTTAGCATAAGGAACAAAGTCCGCATTTTCAACACCAATGTCAAGTCGGTCAGTTCTTCTGAACAGGCCAGAAACTTGCACTGCGTGTGTGTAACGAAAAAGATTTCCAACAGGTTGCAGACTTTCACGAACAGCTGCCACCTTCTCCGGCTGGATCCATACTAAAGATCAAGTGGCCAGCCGGCCAGAAGGAATAAGCACCGAGAAACTCTGCAGTGGAACAAACCAACCAACCAAGTGCCGATTGCTTAACAAATATGTGGCAGAAAATGGAGGGCAGAAAAATGCCCTATCAATCCATCTCTGTTTTCTCCCACATATTTTTTGGGCGATCGGCACTTGGTTGGTTGGTTTGTTCCGCTGCAGAGTTTCTTGTTAGTAATTGTTTCTGTCCGGCCTGCCAGCAGACTGGCTGGTTGGCCACTTGATCTTCAGTATGGAGTCAGCCGGTGAAGGTGGCAGCTGTTGATAATCGTCTACAGTGACCTGTTGGAAATGCTTTGCGGGACGCGCACTCAGTGCAAGTTTCTGACCTATATCGAAGAACTGACTGACTGAATTCACATATGTGTTGAAAATCCGAATCTTGTTCCTTATGCTGAATTAGTGGTGATACGCCAGCCTGTCTGTCGAGTGGAACCTGAATGGGATGGAAGCGGTGAGTTAGTTGCTTGTCAGTGCGCGAGGGTGACATGGAGTAGGTGATGCGAAGAGGACATGAAAGCATGTGGGCAGACGCTGAGCGAGGTGTGAAAATGTTGACGGAGAACTCCGAATGCACGCAAAGTAGACGTGCGTCTGAAGCCCTATGTGTTCCTCTAGAAACTAAGAGACACACTAATAATATAATTGACTTTGTAGCAATTTAACTGATAGTAGTTGTATATTAGAATGAAAATATTGTTATTCTTACTTCATTTCACATTCAGTGGGACTGAGTCGTCTAATGTTTAATTCCTTATTTTGTGATTGGTATCATGGAACATGACGTGTTGCTCACGGTTATAAAGATAATTCGTCATCCTCCTATTAAATGAGGATATCAGGTATACTCCTGCAAATTTTACTATGACTTTTAATGCTGCTGGTCTCCATCTCATGAGTATTAGAATTCAGCACTGAGTCGTTAGGTCACGGGTCCAAAACTTACAGTGTTTTGCGTATGCTACTGACAAGATTGACCAGTAGTATATGTATATAAAGACACAATTATCGGCACAAAAATATCAAATGTTGAAGAAATAGATTTGATGTCAAAGAGACGAAACGAACCAGTGTATTGCGGAAAAACATATAAGGGGACAAAGAAACACCACACGAAGGATAGAAGTAGCACAACGCAGAAGATCTGTGCAGTAAATAACGATTTTAATATATTTATAAACATAGTTTTCCAACATACGTGTATATCAGACGGCAAATATACATTCCGTTACCAAGTCTCCTGTCTTCTCCTGTTGCAACAATATTTTGCCTAGGTTTAGGTGGTCAAGTAGTAAATGATATTAGGATAAAACGTGAGCACTGTGGTGGTCGAGTATAATTCCATTATTGATAAAATGTTATATTTTGATAAATTGTCACACACAGTGTGTTTGTTATTCGGTAGTATTTACTGAAGACCACGCTTCGAGAGTCGGTGGCACGGTGGTAGAATACTCGCCGACCGGGCCCCATGTGGTCCGGGGTTCGATTCCCGGTCGGCCACCGACGCACTCCTTTACCTCGCTAAGCCAGTAATAAGACTGGTGAAGAGGGGAGGTTGGGGGGAATGGGGCTAGCAGCAACATCATCCCGTGAAAATAAACCTCACTGATACCGAAGCTTCAAGCCTCTAGCTTGAATCTCTACACTCCAATAGGAACGTAAAGGAATTAAAAAGAAAACATTGAATACTATCGATTTATTAAGTAAGTTCACAATGGAATTACAGTTCACTAAACATACATAAATTATAATAAGCATAAAAATATAATAGTTAATAGAATATCAAATAAAGTAAAGGAAATTTCCTCAACAACAGATTGAGCATCATTAGAACCTTGATTGATGGCCAGCGAGGTAAGGACAGTGTCTGAACCAACTTATTCTTTCGGGTACATAGGTTAGGTTTTTGAACGTAGATTCCAACAGCCTCAGCCTCTTTAACATCATTCTTGTGTTCTGTATCCACAAGATGAGTGAGATGTAATAGCGCTATATGAATGGATTTTGTTTGTCCTTTACTTAACCAACCACTGTGCAGGATGATGTTTGGAAATCCGACGAGAAACACGCCTAATTGTACGGCCTCTGCAACAAACGGGCTCACTCCACAACAGCAGTCAAATTGGTAGATACACGCACATAGAAGACGCGAAATTAGGCAGTTTAGCTTTTACTCCTGAACGCAAAACAGGAATGGGTGGTTTTGAAGACACAGAGTAATTCAGCAGTACTGAATGCTCGTTTTACCTCTGTGTTCCTTAGGCGTTGAGTTAATATCTCACTGATGTTATCTCCGAGGAACTGAATTTGTAAGAATAAGGCGTTTTCCGGAACTGTTGGTTGGTACTTTGGCCTGCCTTGACTTTTGATTCATGTTCTTATCAATGAATTTTTCTAGATAACCGTTGTCACTCAGCCAGCAACTGTTTAATAATATTGAGGTCTTCATCAAGAGATTCGTCAGAGCAGATTGGTCTTGCTCTGTGGCGGACCAAACACTTTATTGGACTGCGTTTGTGAGTTTCAAAGGCACAAAGCTGAAATCATGAGGATACTGACAGTCAACTGATGTAGGTTTTCTATACACACTTCTTCTCCTCCTTCTTATTGTACCATCCTCTTTTCTAGTCATAAGGACAGCGTCTACGGAATGAAATATGAGAGTCTCTTTCTTTCTCTATGGTAAAATTTATTTCAGGATGAACATCGTTCAATTTGTCCAGGCAGGATGTTCTCTGCTTCATCTCCTCATTTTTCATAATCAAAAATGCATTAGTCATCCATGTACTAACAGTAGAATTCTACTCCATCAATGACATCTTTCAAAGACCCCCCCTTTCTCTCTCGTTTCACAAATGCAAATGTTGGCTAGAATGGGTTCGAGTGCGGTGATCCCATTGTGTCACACAATTGATATCTGAATACGCATATATTTTCGCTATATTCCATCGAAGTAATACTCAAAGTATATATAATACTTTCTTTAATTTTTTTCAAAATTTTTTTATTTTCCTTTTACTTCAGGCTTTTTCTCGTTTCAAACTTTTGTTAAGTGGTGCACTAATCGTTGGTTGTCCTATAATCACTTACGGATATATCAATGATTCGATATCTTCTTCACTCTTCTTCGCCTTCATGGGTTCTGCTGTATTCTCCTCGTGTACTTTGATTATATATAGTTGGATTAGTACAAAGATTGTTGGAGTTGTAAGTTCCATGATTGTTTCTTATATATATATATATATATATATATATATTGCATGTGTTGTGTTGTGTTGGGTGTGTAGACTCGATGAACCAGGATTTAGTAAGTAATCCATCTCTCTCTCGCTCTATCTCCACCTATCTATATTACTTCTTGGAATTTTGACTCCGTCCCACCCACCCCATTGCGTGTGGTTGTCTGTTGATGCATGCTGTGAAATGTGGTGCTGAGTTCTTTTTTCTAAATTACTTATCTTCGTGAGTGGGATCAATCATTCTATCCTTAGCTAAATTCTTATGTTCTGACAGGCAATCTCACTCCTCCACTCCTGATCTACTAGTTTGACCTATGTAGTTGATTTTATTCAATCAAATGCCTAATCACCGAAAATACCCATTGAGTCATGAAGAAAAAACAGAAGACAATTGAGCGAAGAAAATTTTCTTTATCGACGAAATCATCTTCAGAGGCTGGCTGTACAGTCGAATTTATATTTACCAACCAAAAATGTATAGTAGTCTATTATTGAGTAATAGGGGTGCGGGCTGACATAACTGATATAATTACTCAGAAGTGGCTTTAAAAGTAAAAATTAAAGTTGTAAATTACTTATTACTCAACAATGACACAAAGGAAGAAATGGTTAGAAATTTGATAAGGTTAAAATTGTTATTGAGTAGTGAGAAGAAAGGTGGTAGTCGATTGTCAATTTAACAAGTGTGAAGAGGGTGAGAAAATATACGAAAAGGAACATATGAGAGTGATAAAAGTGAATTAATTATGAATAAAAGTAAAAGCAAACTAAAAGTAGAATCGGAAATTTAAAAAATAAAACTTTTTACAGGGAACGACTAATGAAATGGTTAAGACCATGGTAGAATAAGAGACTGGATAAACTTTTCCTGTACACAGGGTTCGAGGTTGTATTGACGAACTGCCAACGCCTCCGCCATACACAAATGCCGAAACCTAACACCGTTTGTACCACTTCGTCTCACCTTGTAGATAATCTTGAAAGACGACTCTGGTGGAGCTACGTGGCTTGAGTTCATCAAGTGCTCAAGAATTGAGCTAGTAAATGGCTGTCTTACACTGTCCTTTGGCTAACCTAACGTGTAGGATAATGTTCAGAGATGCGTTTGGAAAGTGTGCGGCCGCTTTGTGCAGTTAATATAACTAGCTCCACACGAGCAGGTGAATTTATAAACACACACTGAAGTGGCCCGTCCAAAGCGGTAGTTTATCCTTCACACATCCATTGATAATTTGTCGGCTGTAGAAATTGATCCGTAGCTAAGCCGCAAAGAAGGCCTTCCTCAGTGATCTGCATCAGCAGCAATTCTTCAGGATCTCAGCTGTGGTATCACCTATAAATTCAACGTTCATAAATAGCAGTTTCTTCTCGGCACCGTCTGGGTTCTTTCAGGCTTTTTCTTTACCTTCATGTTTTTCTCGATGAATCTTGGAGGATATCCATTTTCTATGAGGACTTGTCTGAATCGCTCCGATTCCCCATCAATTGTATCACTGACAGGCACATATCCATCTTATTCTTGAAGATAAGGAGTGGATCAGGTTTCTCTTTCGTTTTTTTCAAAGGGACCCAATTATGAAAATTCATGTATTGACGATCCCTTATTGGTTTCCTGTGGGTAGATCTTTGAAGAGAACCATCAGATCTCCTTTTCACAAAAACATCCAAAAAGTGGAATTCTGGGTTCACCTCTGATTCGAAAATGAATTGGATGGCATGATGGCAGCTGTTGAACTCCTTGGTTATGATTTCCATGTTGGTATTCTTGTCACATATGATGCAAGTATCATCCATGTATCTTAGGTATATATGGAAACTAATGATAGTAGGTCGTAACATATTATTCTCCAGACTTGCCAAAAGGCAGTCTTCAAGTAAAGGACATGATATATATTCTTTCATATCAATCAAAACGTGTAGATAATTATGGACATCAGTTTGATTGGGATAATGTCGAAATTTTATACAGAGGAAACACCGAAAGTGCCAAGGATTTCCTAGAATCCTCGTACTCAAACGAATATGCGATTAACAAACGTGTTAATATAGGCTAAGTCTACTAACTAATAAAAAGTAAATCACGTGACGGGAAAGTTTGAAATCCAAGTCAACAGAAAATGATCAATACATCTGTAAAGACGGTTACCGGGAGACGCAATTATATTACTCATGAAAAATTGCGCTGAAGATGTTGTCCAGAAGGACGACGAAAGCTCCGCAACTAAACCAACCAACTCAGAGAACACTACTAATTGCAATATCACTGTTTGCCTAAATGTGTTGTTCTAAATTATTCCTATGGGAATATTGAATATTTTGAAATTTGTTAGTGTCAAATAATTGCAAAATGTTCCCGGGTATATAAGCAACATCCTTTTTTAAAAATTTTTTCGTATTATAAAATGAGAAATAATAATTCTATTTTATCGAGTTTGACCTCCGGTAGATAAATCAGTTGGAAAAGCATTGAAAACCGCCAGTTGGGGAAGTACTACCAGGCAGCTGTTTCATCAGCCTAGTTTGAAAATCATCGGCAGTACGCATCCACCCCACTGGGGTTTCAACCCAGGACCTTCCCGTCACAAGGCAAGCCACTGGGAACCGATTAATCTGATGCTCGCTAGTGACTTGCTACAGGACGGAGTTTTTTTTTACTGGAGTGAGTTCTAGTGAGAAGTCGTGACCAGTGAGGTCCATCCAGTCAAGTGTGAGGATGGATGTCCCACCGATGACATGGGTTGGTGGTCGCGCTAAATCACGAATTGGTAGAAGTTAGAATTCATCGGCTGGTTGGCCGTTGAATGGGGTCTCAGTGAGTGGGGCTGCTCAATGGTCTACGAGTTCGCTCTCCTTGTAACCAGAAGGTGGTCCTGGGTTCGAACCCCACCTTGTGTGGTGGTTGCATACTGCCGATGATTCCCAAACTAGTGGCTGATGAAACAACTGTCCAGTACTCCCCTAGTTGGTTTTCAATAGTTCTCTAACTGATATCAACCCGTGGTCAAACTCCAAAAAAACAAATCTAATCTCTACAAACCAAACTCTTAAAAATAATTATTCTAATATTTTGACAAAATGACAAACACACTCATGAATTGTAACTTCTTTGTATTGTTTCTCTATTATTATTATATCAGATAAGCGTTCACAAGACATCTGGACTTATGCGTATTGGCCACTTGACATTTTGGGGGAGACGTCAAAATAAAATTTTGAATGTGAAACAAATTATCCCCCCATCAGATTTACAAGATTCCCCAGAAGACAATAAATCTGTACGCTTTGGAATTATTAGTGAAGAAAACGAGCAACATTCAAAGCATCCAGGCATAATAATAAAGCAAACATTCTTCCTCACTAGAATTAAATCAGAAATCATAGACAAAGATTTATTTAAAAGTATATTTGGTTTCACTTGGTAAATTTATATATATGTATACATATACACAAGATTTCATTGTTGTCCTTACACTTGTTCGGGGAGTGAGAGGGGATTACATTTCGGTAATATCAACATAACACTATCCTACATACTGAATGAATATCAGAAGAAATTAGGAAAAGTCTCCAGCGAAGGTCAGCCAGGGCAGTAGTAGTAGTGGTTGGTTGAACCTGTCTCTTCTGCACATAGAGCACCGGTTGTCTCAGGCGAATCGCGCTATCCTCTGCTGTTTGGAGTATTCGGTACCTGGATGTTTTTGGCAATGTGTTTGGTTGGTACCCGATTGATGATGATGATGATGGAGAAGGATTCTTCAATGCTGGTTGACTTTGTGGCCGGTCGGTTTGGACCAGGTGGTCTAATATCGAAGTGTTGATGGTTTTCCCTACACCTTTATTTAGCCACACCACACTGGTAGATGTTCCCGAGAGACTACGAAAAATCAAGTTCCTAGAGAAACGATCAATATTCTATTCTCCGTCCGTAAACAAGAAGGCTTTATATACATACGACTGGAATTCAAGAGTCGCCACACTTCACACTTGGCACACAAAGCAAGAGAAGAGAGTTAAAAGAAATTCAAAACACAAAGAGAGAGATAATAAACATTAATATGAGGCAAAAAGAATAGTTGTAATATGAAAGAACAATATAGTTTTATTGAATATTATAAGTCAGAAGGAGTGAATGCATCTGAGCCAGTCAGCCATCACCGAGAACGATCACTTTGAGCCAGTCATATCATCAATTGTCACCAGCCTTCATTGGTTCTCACAACCATCCCGAGGACCCCAACCAGGCAGTCAGGTAGTCTACGCCTTCCTACGTGGCTTAAGCAAACTGTTGTGGTATTTTATTGACTGATGATGAAGCCATGTTTTGGTTTCACCACCACTAGCTTTTTTTCATTTGATCCATCCTATTTCAGCTTACACCGCCTGCGGGTCGAGGAAGACGATGGCCAGGAATAAATGCCTAACAGATGTCTTAACCATCTCAACCGATGTAACTGCTTCACAGCTCGTCTATTGATTTCCCCTCCTCCTCACCCAGCACTCGACAGACGCCTAACCTCAATATTGCTCACCTTATTATTCTACTAAACACAGGAGATAGAACGCACACACCACCTATGATCAAAGACAGCTAGTCGGATATCACGTCAACTAAGACATCCGGCGAAAAGAGCCTTCTGTATGCGTACTGAGATGTTGTCAGGAATCAACCCGCTGGCTTGGCTGACGCAAAAGCTTCCCAAAATAAGTGAAATGGTCAACACGCTCCGCCAACCACTTCACTCCCTATTTCTAAGTTAGGGGTCAATGTAGGCCAGTCTTGTAGCGTCATCTTACAGCAGGAATAAATGACATGTCAAACATTCGCAGACTGCTGCTCCTCAAGGTGTTCAGAATACCGTGTCTGCATTTTGTCAGCGTCTTCACTGAGGAGCAGGACTATATCATCTGCATATTCTAGGTCAACGAGATTATTCCCTGGTGGTAATAAGTCAGCCACTGAGTCGTTGAAGTCAGCAGTTAGTGTTAAGTCCATTAGTACGATATCTATGATGAAATTAAACGGAAATGGGGACAGTGGGCATCTGTAGGACGGATACCACTGGTTGTCACTACAGTTATCAGATGACAACCCGCCGTAAGCTCTCACCTGGCTGGCTAACTGCATGAGATCGAGTAGAGTGAGTGCCTTGATCAGTTGGCGTTGTATTTTCTCGGCATTCCTTTCACAGCCAAGTAAATAAGCATCTTAAGAAGCAAATTGTCGATATGAAATATTAGAATGAAAAAAGAACAGCAAATAAGGAAAAATTTAAAAAATCTGCAATTCTGACAGAAAACGAGGTGTAGACAGACAAGGAAGTAGTTTCCCTGAAATCGAGTGAAAATGGCAACACAATACACCAACGTGTTAAACAATATCAACTTGATATGATTATGAGCAATGGTTTGTGCTTGAAACGTCATCAGTTAATATTACTGTATAACACTGTGAGAATTTTAAGATTATCTGGTGATGATGATGAGTCACTTCTATTGCATGTGTTGTGTTGTGTTGGGTGTAGGTAGACTCGATAAACCAGGATTCAGGAAGTAATCAACTTCTCTCTCTCCACCTACCAATATTACTTCTTATAATTTTGACTCTGTCCCACCCACCCCATTGTGTGGTTGTGTGTTAATGCATGCAGTGCATGTAGTGAGCTGTTTTCTAAATTACTTATCTTCGTGGTTGGGATCAATCATTCTAACCTTAGCTAAATTCTTATGTTGTGACAGGCAATCTGACTACTCCTGCCTAATCTACTAGTTTGACTCACCTATGTAGGTAGTTGACCTAACTCACAGTCATTGCAAGGTATTTTGTAAATTATATTATTTTGTTTAATTGGGTCCATAAGGATCAAAAGTCGGATTTTCAACACCAGTGAATGTTAAGTCAGTCAGAAATTTGGTGGACGCGTAACGCAAAGCATTTCCACTAGTCTGCTACGGTCTTTTATCTACAGCTTCCTGCACTCCATACTGAAGACCAGATAGCCACAGATTCGGAGTTTAATAACATAAATTTCAGCATCATTCTTTGATGAGTGATATTCTTGATCGATTTAGTGATGAGCACGTGTGACTGAATTCCAAATAAATAGATCAAACTCTACTCAACTTTTCTTATCTGAGCAGATGCCTGAATAATAATTGTTCCAGGATATGAAGAAGAGAACAGTTTGAGACTGTATATAGCTAACTCAGTGAGGGTGTTAGACTAATAAACAGATGTGTAATATAAGTATTTGAAATGAGGATTGCCAATTAATGGAAGTTTAAATAAGCATCTCCATCTAAAGCTGTGAAACAGATATATAGGCATACGGATTATGTGAAACAGATCTGTCACAACAATGGAAAGTGTTGATATTAGGTGGTTGGAGGCAATCGGCCACAGGAAGCCTTGCCTGAACCTATGTTTCGTGATAGTTGGCACTCACTAGTCAGTCAGTCAGCAAGGCGTATCTGCAACCACATTGAAGGAACAACTCATATCCCTCCTTCTGAGATTCAAACCCGTGTCACCCAATGAGTACTGCAGTGAGTCAGAGAGGTTACTACACGGGTAGCTCAAGTAATAATTCCAATTCTGAAGAATCCACAGTTCTCCCTTCGCCAATAATGTTATGAACTCGTCGCCAATATGTTATGGTGTCTTTGCCGATATTATGGTGCGACCGAGCGGAAATATGCGCTAATGAGATATGACGGACGATAACGTACAGACTGGTATTACTGAGTAGTTAATTTGTCCTGACGCGAAGAGGAAAATCAGGAGACCACCAAAATCATGAAGATACGTGTATTTTCCAACAAGGGAAAATTAACTGTCACACAAGAGTGTAAGTGGAAAAGTACGAAAGGTGTGAAAGTGTATATCAACTGTACAATACAAAAGTATATATATGAAAATAACTAACATACATGAACCAATTTGCTGGACAGTAGTTTTTCTTACCACCATTGGATTCTGATTGGTTGTAATGTCATGGGAAAAAAGGTCATACATTGTTTATTTAGTTAATGGACAGACAAAACATATTGTGAGTTATAATGGAATAACAATCAATATACACATAGTAAAATATATCAGACTGTCAAAACGAAGCGGACATCATGTGACTACATATCAAATAACAACAACAAGCAACACCAATCACCATCAACAGGAAAGATTTAACAGAGGTTACCTCCTGCACTTATCTAAGATGCATGGTTTCAACTACAGGCGGAATGGATGAAGATGTCAAAGTCAGTCAGAATCGGAAAGGCAAGAGACGCCTTCATCAACCTGAAACCAGTTTGGAAATCTTCTGCAGCAACTCAACATAAGGAACAAGATTTGAATTTTTAACACCAATGTGAAGTCGGTCAGTTCTTCTATATGAGTAAGAAACTTGCACTGCGTGTGAGTCACGAAAAGGATTTCCAACAGGCTTCTACATATTTCATCAACAGCTGCCTTCCCTGGCTCCATACGGAAGATCAAATGGCCAGCCGACCAAAAGAATTAGCAACAAGAAACTCTTCAGTTGAATAAACCAACCGAGTAAGACCCGATCACTCAACAGATATGTAGGAGAAATTGATTGGAGATGGATTGATCAGGCATATGTTGAGGAGGCCGTCGAATGACATCGCACGCCAGGACATTGCTCGACTGGAATCCTGATGGGGAGCGACGAGTGTGTCGTCCTAGGGTGACATGGAGGAAATCATGGGTGTGTGGTGTGTGGAGGAGGAGATGAGAGATTGTGGGCAATCGTGGGGTCAGTTGAAAAGAGCAGTAGAAAAGGGGACAAAGTGGAGATATGTTGTTGAAACCTTATGTTCCACTCGGAACCCAAGGAAATAATAAGAAAATTCCTTAGATTATATAACCAGTTATGCTGGGAACCACTTTCTTCAAGAGCCAACCCCGTGAATTCGCACAAATTAACGAGTAGCTTAAAAAGAAACTAAGGGTTCACGAGATGCATACATAAATATCACTAGTGACATAGTGGTTAACGATTTAGCGCGGTGCGAATCCCCAGAATTACTTGCTCTGATGGAAAAAACACAACAACACCACCAATGTTTGAACAAAGCTATATTTTCATCTAAAACGTCATAGTTTTCATAGTAAGACCAATATGGCTAGCAATAAACACTGCAAATGTGTACTATCTGTAGCTCTTTCTCATATTTATTTTTTAAATGTACTTTCAATAATCTAATTTTCACAATTTTATTTGATATCAATTTGCAATTTCCCAGGACGTTCTTCGGCAATGTTAACCTTTAAGCATCACTAGCTACCAATCAGAGAAGGACCTTGAACGAACCAGTCACATGAAAGAGGCATTCTTGGTTATGAGAAACATATATTTATGAAAAAATGCATAAAAGCTGCATGAAACTGTTAAAACATACGCT